CCCAGATCAGTGCAGCATAGTTTACGACCGGCCGACCAATTGCTTTGTAAGATGCCAGCAAACTATCTTTGTCTTTACCCCAAGTGCTGACGGCTAACGCTTTGAGTATTTTGTTGCGGCTCTGGAGTTTCGCGGCAATTGCGCATGCTGTCTAGTATTACTCCCAATATTTTTGGCTTATTTACCGTCGGAATTTTTGTGTTATCGACCTTCACATCTAGTTTAAGCCTGTACTCCTTCGTCCAGCTGGTGAAGAGGGTAGCCGAGGATTTCGTCGGTTGTATTCTTAGCTGTTTTGCAGTGAAGAAGTGGGGGAGATCAGCGGGGTAGCCGTTCACTTTTGAGCAGAGGTCGTCAATATCCTGGCCATACGCCATTATCGTACAATCATCGGCATAAGAGGTTAGGGAAACTCTTTATGGTGGTGGAGGGCGCTTTGAGTCTTCGCTACTGGGGAGAGGAGAGTTATCGGCCGATAGAACTCTCTTTTGTTGGCTGGTCTCCGCGGTTTGAGTAGCGGTACCACCCTACCCAACACATCGCTGGTCCTATGTGTTTCAGCATCAGCATACTTATTCCGTCGGGGTCGATTGATTTAGAGGCTTTCGCCTTCCCGATGACCCCCTGAACCTCCTGCCTGGAGAAATCAAGCATCGCGCTGGTGTTTGGCAGTTTGCGCATACGGCGGGTTACACGTCGTTTCGCTTTGTCTACTGAGGAATGCAGTGTGAAAAGCCGGCTAAGATAGCTCGCGCATCTCCTTGGGTCCGACAAGGCGCGATCACCGAATGAAATTTCCACCCGGTCATCGCGTATCGTCGGGTTTGAAAGCAACTTGACTGTAGCCAAGAGCTTGGTTGCCCCAGAGGAGAGGTTGCAGGTCCTTAGGTGCTTCTCCCACTTTTTCCGCTTATGAATGTTGACTACTCTTCGAATCGGAGGGTGTCGCGCCTGGATGCTAATACCGCCGCTTCTGTCGGAAAATTTGGGGGGATTTCCGCAATTCGGCTTGTAGGGATGAAGCGAGCTGCAGCGGTCACGACGACCCTGCGGAATAAACGTTCACCAGTGGTGACGTCTGATGGAGTGGGAAGAGCACTAAAGGCGTTCTCAGTGAATTCCGGGAATCAGGGCCAGTTAAAGTTAAAAATTGTCCACGGAAACAAAGTCGGGAGCCCTGTCAATCGATGCCAGCTCCATTCCTCTACGGTCATTTGACAGGCAGGAATGCCAAAGATCATGATGCGCGTTAAAGTCGCCCAAACCCAAACGGTTTTCGCTCCTGAGTAGCGCACTTATATCAGGGGTGTATCCTGCTGGGCAACTTGTATCTGGAGGGATGTATATATTGAATATTTCGAGCTCGACATCGCCTGATCGGATAGTTATGCCCTGACATTCTAGGGTAGTATCCCTGCGGTCGATGTCGCTGGAGAGGCGGTTGGACGCTGGCAGCATGGGGCCACATAACTCGTGGTCCATTCCCTGTGAGTCTTAAGGTCTGGTTGGTCTTAAGGTGTCTCCAACCATTGCACTGGTTGCATCTCACCGGGGTGGAAGACTGGTGGAGTCTTTTGTGACACACGCAGCAGAAAGAGTCCGTCGGACCAGGGTTGGTTTCGACACCAGCCTTGATCAGAAGGATTTGGAGCAACCCAGCTGCAAGGTGTTGCTACATTGGCGAACTTAGACTAAAGTTACTTGTTGACCTAAACGGGGTTAGGTCGCCGAAAGGGTGACAGCCCTTGGCCGGATAAAATCCGGGTCAACTCCGGTGCGTAGAACCGGCTGTCATGAGAGTTGAAAGCTTTCGATGTAGTACCTGCTGGTGGAAGCAGAAGGTGCGGAAGACGTCCACTCCCTTTGGGAAGATCAGGTGGAGATTTCCTACCAGCGAAAAGAATAAAGAAATTGCGTGCTAATAAAAATTGGGCTATAATCACGTAAGCGGTGCCAACGCTAATAAAGAAGAATATTAAGAATTTAACTTCGTATTTTATTTTGATTTATATTATCGACTTAGTTAAAATAAATTTATTTTTTTTCTTACGTTATTTAATTTTTGATAGAAGTGAATTTGTTAAATTTAATTTAGATATATCCATTTGGCATTTTATATTGTTATATTTTATTAACTTTTTTCCCTTTATTTCCTTACATTTTTCTTAAATTATTATTTTCCCATTTATCTCCTTTAATTTTCCTTTAATTAATTTTATATTCATTTTTATTTATTTAATTAATTAATTTAATTTGACCTCGTTTAGATTTATGGTATTTCCTTTATTTAAATTTATTTCAGTTTATTTCGTTGCAATCACTTTTGTTTTGTACCTATTACCTTTGAGCTTTGATTAAATTTAATTGCTCATTAGTGTTCTTTATTTGATATTATGACTATTCTAAGATTTTAGTTTTTAACTTCTTTCCATTAAGTTTATTTAATTTTGATTTTTGTTAAAATCATTAATTTAAAATTTTTTCATTTTTATTTATTTAGCTATTTTCGCTTTTTATATATTATATTAAATTAATTTATTTTGATTCCATTGTACTTTAATTGTTTCAACTGTTTTTCAAATAATTTATTTCGATTTAATTAATATATCAGGTGTACAACTTTACTTCCGCCGTATTTTTTCCAAAATTAAAAGCTTTTTTGCGAAAAAGTGCTTATTCAAAGTATTGTCCTTCGCTATCGACAACTTTACACCATCTTTCCGGCAATTTTCGGATCCCGGCTCGAAAAAAGGAGTCCTCTTTTGACGCTATCCATGAAGCAATCCATTTTTCCAGTTCTTCGAAGGATTGAAAATGGTGATCTGCCAGGCCGTGTTCCATCGAATGGAATAGGTGGAAGTCAGAAGGGGCGACATCTGGGGAATACGGCGGGTGGGGCAAGACTTACTATCTCAGCGTTTCTAGGTACTTTTTGACCACTTTTGCGACGTGAGGCCGAGCATTGTCGTGTTGGAGGATGACTTTGTCATGTCACTCTTGATATTGTGGCCGCTTTTCTTTTAGCGCGCGACTAAGGCGCATAAGTTGCGTTCGGTAGCAATCTCGTAGTAAATCACACCGAGCTGATCCCACCAAATACAAATCATAACCTTGNTTTTATTTTATTTTATTTTATTTTATTTTATTTTATTTTATTTTATTTTATTTTATTTTATTTTATTTTATTTTATTTTATTTTATTTTATTTTATTTTATTTTATTTTATTTTATTTTATTTTATTTTATTTTATTTTATTTTATTTTATTTTATTTTATTTTATTTTATTTTATTTTATTTTATTTTATTTTATTTTATTTTATTTTATTTTATTTTATTTTATTTTATTTTATTTTATTTTATTTTATTTTATTTTATTTTATTTTATTTTATTTTATTTTATTTTATTTTATTTTATTTTATTTTATTTTATTTTATTTTATTTTATTTTATTTTATTTTATTTTATTTTATTTTATTTTATTTTATTTTATTTTATTTTATTTTATTTTATTTTATTTTATTTTATTTTATTTTATTTTATTTTATTTTATTTTATTTTATTTTATTTTATTTTATTTTATTTTATTTTATTTTATTTTATTTTATTTTATTTTATTTTATTTTATTTTATTTTATTTTATTTTATTTTATTTTATTTTATTTTATTTTATTTTATTTTATTTTATTTTATTTTATTTTATTTTATTTTATTTTATTTTATTTTATTTTATTTTATTTTATTTTATTTTATTTTATTTTATTTTATTTTATTTTATTTTATTTTATTTTATTTTATTTTATTTTATTTTATTTTATTTTATTTTATTTTATTTTATTTTATTTTATTTTATTTTATTTTATTTTATTTTATTTTATTTTATTTTATTTTATTTTATTTTATTTTATTTTATTTTATTTTATTTTATTTTATTTTATTTTATTTTATTTTATTTTATTTTATTTTATTTTATTTTATTTTATTTTATTTTATTTTATTTTATTTTATTTTATTTTATTTTATTTTATTTTATTTTATTTTATTTTATTTTATTTTATTTTATTTTATTTTATTTTATTTTATTTTATTTTATTTTATTTTATTTTATTTTATTTTATTTTATTTTATTTTATTTTATTTTATTTTATTTTATTTTATTTTATTTTATTTTATTTTATTTTATTTTATTTTATTTTATTTTATTTTATTTTATTTTATTTTATTTATTTTATTTTATTTGATTTTATTTGTTTTTTGAGTAATAACTTTATCAATAAATACCCATTAATAAATTGTTTTTATGAAATTAATTTTTTAATGTGAAAATTTTCCCTTAAAATTCATTGCAGATATGTTTTAGGTATTGTGTTCGATTTAGATAATATTCGTAGAATATTTAGAATATTGGTGTTAGTTTATAAAATTTTTGGAATGCTATGTAAAATTTGACCTATAGAAAATAACCCTTTGAAGTACTCAAAGTTATATGTGTAAGTGTTTTCGAAAATAGGTCATTTGAAAGTGCATGATATTTGAGTGCGTATATGTGTGTTAGTTATTAGCGTTTGACACAAAGAAAAATATTATGAAAACTAGAATAAATACCTTAATAATTATGCATGCAAGGATTTGCATATTTAACTTGTTTAATTTTATAAAACAATTTTTATATATATTGATGAGTGTGTGTGCGTGATTGTGCATAAGCGGTTTCATTAGTTCTAGTTTGCTTTGTCAGGTAATGTGAATTTAATATAATTTCCAAATGTCGCATAAAAAGTGCTTTGCAATATTATATACATAAACACCTAATCAAACTTATATATAAAACATATTTAAATATTTTCATATACAAATATGTCTTTAACACACACTTATAAGCTTAAACGTAAGGAATTTAATGCAAATATGTATGGTATACGTGTTGTTAACTTATATATAATATTAATGTAGTAGATCTTCATATTTATATATTGGTTGTGTATAAAATTGCGGCACTCACCATTCGAAGATGTTGAAAAGAGGAAGCTGTGCGTCAAGTCACTCCAACCGTAACGATTCCTGCAAAATTCCAAATTCAAAATTCAAAATGCGATTGCAACCAAAATTAATCATTACTTTGCTGCAAGTATGCGTTTCGGTTACTTGATTCTTTAAGTATATATGTGTATGTGCATAATATCTATTCCCATATTTACTATTCACAAAAACAAGAGTTTGCAATTAATTAGAGAATGAAAATGTCACCTATGAATTTATTAAGAAGAAATGATTATTTGCAACAACCGCATCAATTGTTGCATTGTTTGCAGCAGCAGCAGCATGTGGCATGTGGCACAAGTGGTTTATTTGTGCCCTAAAGCAAAATACAAATACTCATTTGTATTTGCACATAATTTGTGTGCAGCTTTGCATATCATTCTAATGTAATTAGTTTTTGCTTTTGTGTGGTCATTGTTGGTCGAACAGACCATTGTCGCTGCTTCAAGTCTGCCTGTCCTCGAGTCTTCAACTGCATGGCGAATTGTGAGTGTTGAAGTAACGAAATAACAGCATGTGAACAATTCATGAATTAAATATAAATTAGCATTCGCATTGTTGAATAAAATAAATAAATTGTTTTCCACAAATTATTTGTATGCCTTTAGGCATACTAAGACCAATAGTTTGCTTAAGGACTTTGAATTTACTTAAACTCAGCTGTGCATGCTAATTGGGTCAGTGAAGAAAGAAAGCGTAATTGCGCTAAGCAAAAGAGAAAAACGCTTTATTCAGCTGTGTTGAAGAGATGAATTTAAAAATAAGTCAATGACTACAAATCGTAGATTGACTACTACCAACTGTCAACACAGTCCTAGCCAGCTGAGTACGGCTCCAGAATAGCGAAGCCTATTTCTGTCCAATGCAGATAAGAATTTGTCTACGCCTTCCAACCTCTCCCGTAAAATAGCTCCCAAGGACAGTTTAAACTTTAGAGTTATCCTTCCTTTTAAATAGGCCAACGCTACGTGAAAACTTAAAATCATGGTGTAGCGGGCTTTTTGCTGCCCCTGAGCTTTTACTAATTTGATGAGGTGTACACGGCGTTATAAGAAATTTATAAACAACGGGCCGCTTCGAAAATCGTACTTTATTTCAAACAATATACAATGTCTTGAGTGGCGTTCCTACGAAGAAGCATTGCGGCCGAATAGCGGTTTGGCATGACCCGTCAGCGCCTTGCTGTCCCGCCGAATAACAAATGGCTGGAGTGCCTCTTGATAGCGACTGTGTCAGGACGCTTACGTTTATATGCAGGCGGCAGCGATGCTAACTGGAGTTATCGGCGTTCGGCAACGATGCTCGTATTTGCTGCGGCAGCGAAGTTCTACTTGATATGTCGTCGCTCGTGCATGATGTACCGACGACGCTCTGCTGAGTATCTCAACGCTAATTTATTGCGTGTAATTCGCGGTATGCTGCAGCATTACTGCGGTATCAGCCGTGCTAGGAAATTCGGATCATTGAAGTCTGTGACTGCGACCACGGAGTCAAGTGTTGAGTGTTGGAGTTTCGACTCACTACCTATCTCACACTTAGCATGTGGGCTTAGTATATTAAATACCGAGACTTTGCGGTGCATTAACTCACTGGGAAATCAGATATTTAGCATGCATTCCTGTGCTGGCTGCCTGTTGATCGTTTGGCAGAGCTACTGCCAATATAGATTTTGTATGCGATGTTTTGTAAGGCGAGTAAAGTATTTTTGCCATTGCAAACATACATACATACATACTTGTTACGTTGTTTACGTAGCGTGATCTTCCTCTTATTGTTTGTCTAATTGTCGCGTTGTATTCCTTCACCTCGTTTCATTTAATGGGTGCGTATTCTGTAGTTTGGGTATTGTGGGAGCTGAATTCCGTTTGGAAATTGTCTGGATTTGTGACAAGTCAACAGCTTGTTTACATACATATGGCTAAATATGTTTGTCTTAAAATGGAACCCAGTTTTAGCGACAAAAATTTCCTACTACATTTGAAATCTGTGAATAGCCAGTTGCTGTTTGGAGCCAAGTTTGGCGAAAACGGGGGATGTGAGAGCGATTCAAAGTCAAATTTATACAGTTTTGTCATGGCTTTGATTGATTTGATGATATACAATTTTCTATTTGCTATATGCGGCCGTCAAACCTATTCAGTTTTGTCAATAATCCATAAAACCATCAATCGCTTTACAAACGAGCAACAATTGCAAATTACTGAAATTTATTATCAAAATGCATACTTTGTTGAGAAAGTTCATCGCGCGCTTTTTAGCGGGGAATTGTGTTCAGCGTCGAAGCTCATTTCTGGCATAATGGGTGCGTAAATAACCAGAACTGTCGAGTTCGGAGTGAAGATCAGCCAGAAGCATTGCAAGAGCTACCAATGCATGCAGAATAAGTCGCAGTTTGTTGCGGTTTATGGGCTGGTGGCCTCATTGGACCGCACTTCTTCAAAGATGATGCAAATCGTAACGTAACTGTGAATGCTGAGCACTACCGTACCGTTTTTTGCCCAAAATGTAAGAAGTTGATTTGCATGACATGTGGTTTCAACAAGAGCAACAAGGCGGTGCCACGTACCACACAGCACGCGTACCAATGGACTCATTGAGTGGCGAGTTCGGTGAACATTTTATTTCACGTTCAAGACCGGTCAATTGGCCGCCTAGATCGTGCGATTTAACGCCTTTAGACTATTTTTTGTGGGGCGGCAGACTCGTTTGCTTCAATTGACGCATTGGATTACAACATTGTAACATTTATTCGTGAGATACCGGCCGAAATGTTCGAAAGGGTATGCCGAAATTGGACTAAACGGATGGACCATTTCAGACGCAGTCACGTGCAACATTTACATGAAATAATCTCGAAACATTAAATTATATGGACCGTACTGTCGATTCAAATAAAAATTTCATGAATTTTTCTGAATTTTAAGTGTTTTTTTCCTATAGCTCTTAAGAAATCACGCTTTACATATGTTGTTCATAGTTGACCCATGTTAAACGTGTGAGACGCCAGAAGGTAATGCCCTGTTAATAGTCCTATCAGCAGTCTGGAGTCCGGCCTCTTTACAGATATATAAGCTGGAAGGTTGGATGCAAGCTCGTGAGTTATCTTATTACCTTCAATGTCCGTGCTGTTCTGCCCCCAGTAAATACACACTCTTCTGTTTTTAGACAGTACTTGACTCGCTTAATTACGCAACCCGACAACAGCTGAAGTCGTTTTGTATGAAATTAAGGACTACGAGCTTGGCTATCCACGTAGATGTGTATTCTTTGCCTTTGAAAGCCAGCACTTTGCAGTAACTCTGCCGCCTTTTTTATAGCACATATTTCGGCTTGGAAATACTGGTATATTTTGGTACTTCTAAGACTTCGTTATCTCTAGTTGGGCGCAGTAAAGTGAAGACACTACCATCTGTAAAAAAATATACAGCTTTGTCCGCATATTTCGGATCCTTGCTCCAGTGATTTACATCTACTGTAGCTTAAGCCAGCCTCCCAAAATTCCTGCGTTGGTTACCTCAATTAGCTATTTGAGCTGCAAAACTTTCAGTTGTCAAAGCCGAGTTCTAGACAAGGCCGGACAGAAGCACATGAGGTGTTCCAACGTGTCACTGATGCACTGTTCTGCTCGCGTGGGATGTCATTTAAGCCAAAAAATGTCCTGCAGTCCATTCAAGACCGTAAACTGAGTGTTATGCTTTGCTTGGTCTTATGTTTGCTTCAAAAATTCCAGTTGTTGCATGAAGCACACCAAGCAATTTTTAACAAATTCAGCTTACAATCAGTGGAAGCTTTACGGCAAGCTGCCTTAAGTCCTCTCCTAAATCCGCAAAGTCTGGCAATGGCGAGTGCGCTCAAGTGGATTGAATTTAATAAAAAAAGAAGCATCGTTTCTTGTTGCAATTGTTTACATTGTGTTGCTGCCGCTGTCATAGCAAGCGACCTGACAACGCACCAAAGTATCAATTCTGTCCTAAACACAGCAAATTGTTAATGTGTCAACGTAAAATTAAGTGAAAATTTGCTGAGCCAGAGCTTGCGGAAGATCCACGGATACATATTTCCAAGGAAAAGAGCTGAGAAGGAACGAAATTCTGAAGCGTTGCACGTGCACCAAAACAATGCCAATGACATTGGCGCAAGACGAAAAGAGCAGCAACAAACCGTGTAAGTCAAGCACAAATTGTACCAACAGTGGATAAGCAGCTGTGAAATGACAACAAATGGAGGACTGGAGCATATTGAATTACAAAAATAGTAGCGCAAAAAAAAAAAAAAAAAAGAAAGCAATGTCGCGTGACAACAAAGCCGCGGCCATGAGCAGTGAAGCATTGCTTGTTTATACTAGAAAATTATTGAAGCCAGAAGAACACACCGTAAGAAGAAAATATAGACAAGTGGACTGACACATTTCAACTACAACAACACCAACAACAATCGTAGGTATGTGCCACAGCCACAAATTCCTCAACACGTAACGTGCAGCAGCTGCTCCAAAGGCTTAAAGATTTCTCTATTTGTATAACTTTACTTGTGGCTCACACCAACTCGTCTCAACTTCACACAGAACAAACTTACCTCGCTTGCACGGTGGCCTCATAATGCTGGTCGGGATCCAAGCCGCGTATCATATAACTCATCCCCTGTGTGTAATGATGTGACAATGGCATCGCTGCCAACACCACATCACGCCAATCGTTGCGACCCCAATGCATCACATTGCCATAGCTGCTGAGACCGGCGCCCACGCCGCTGCGATGATTTTGATGGCTACCCATACTGCCAATGCCACCACCACCTCCACCACCGTACATCTGCAGAAGCGTTGAGGAGGAGGCGGAGGAGCCGGTGTGCGTATCGATGGAGTTATCGACCTCGTGTCCTTGTGGCAACCTTCGGAAGGATAGTTTGTACTCTTCAATGGGCGTGTGTGAGTCGACGGTCCAAGAAATGTTGTATCTACAGAGAACGTTGGGAAAGACGAAAGGTAGAAGAAGAAAATAGGATTAGATATTATTTGCAGAAACCATCTGTATCTGTATGTGTGTCTTGTGCTTATACTATGAGTGTTGGCTTACTACTTATGCATTCTAATGTTATTGCAGTACATACAAACTATATATATATATTATATATCGAGTAATATTTATAGCAGCAGTTGTTATTGTTGCATTGTAGTCTTTATGTGCAACATAACAATGCCATTGTCTCTCGAAGTGCCTCAACGAGCTCGACCGTAAGCGGGCAACAGTGAATTAATGAAGTAAACGCGAATATTGGCGGAACGATAATGGCCAAGGCGCTTGCCTCCAACGCAAGCAAGACGGAGAGCAGGAAAGAGCAGCAATATCAACTTGTTGTAGACAACAAAAAAGACGATGACTAGGAGAGTCGCACTTAAAGGCAGAGACAGCAAAGTGAAGCACAATTTCCCGCTGGCAAAATTGCAGCTAAGATAGCGCGCATAAGACGAGCAGAAAAAGTAGGAGGTGATAAGAAGTAGAGCGGGTTCTTGAAAAGCCAATGTTTGTATTGTTAAGAAGTTGAAGTGCGAAAACAATGGCAGCTTTGCAGGCGTCGGCCACATGGCAGTGCGTTGACTTTGTTGTAGTTGCACGCAAAACTGCTCGGCGGGTAGCCAAACACTTCACAACAATACACACACGCAAACACACACACAAACAGATAAATAAAGTAAATGGCAAAGCAATGCACTTGCAAAGCTTAAGAATGGCTGAGTTTGGTTGTCTTTGCGCGCCTCAAGGAGTGGCTACTTCATCCTGCAGCATAAATAAGCAAATCCTAAACAAAACTCGTTGCTGTTCTGTTGAATTCTAACTTCTTTTTTATAATCAACTAACGAGTTGCTACAATGCCGTGAGTGGACTTTAGTCCAGGCTAAATATAAGATAAATAACTAAGGAATCACAGGCTTCGGTTTGGCCGAATATTAAGCAATACTTTTTTTCCAAAGGATGAGCCAAATGAGTCACTTTTGTAATTCAAATATTGGGTGTTTTTTTCTGAAAATTAAGACATTAATGTAAAAATTGTTTTAATCGTCTGAAGACAGTTGCTTGATCAACTCTTAATATTTACTTTTGCAAGTTCTTCTTGCGTCTGGCATGCCTTTGTATGAAAAGTAGGTTACTCCAGTTGTTGTAAAATCATCAAGGTGCACATCGTAAACTAGGGAAAGCACTTTGTATTATATATTGAATTGTGGACATCATTAATTATAATTATATGTAATTTCGTAAATAAAATTAAAACTTTTATTACAACAATACAATTGAAATCAGTAACTTGTTCCACAGCTTCTCCAAAAACTATTAGTTCGTAAACAGTGCTCAACTGATGGAAAATATATTTATATATATGCATATGCATTTTTTGTAAAATTTAAGTCAGGAAATACTAGTTCCACAACTAGTCCAAAAACAACTAGTTTGTAAAAAAAAGTTCAACTGTACAACTTTGCTTCCGCCGTTTTTTTTTTTCAAAATTAAAAGCTTGATTACGAAAAAGTGCTTACAGATATATTATTCAAAGTATTGTCCTTCGCTAGTGACAACTTTCTCCCATCTTTCCGGCAATTTTCGGATCCCGGCTCGAAAAAAGGAGTCCTCTTTTGACGCTATCCATGAAGCAATCCATTTTTCCAATTCTTCGAAGGATTGAAAATGTTGATCTGCCAGGCCGTGTGCCATCGAATGGAATAGGTGGAAGTCAGAAGGGGCGACATCTGGGGAATACGCCGGGTGGGGCATGACTTGGCATTTCAGCGTCTCCAAGTACTTTTTGACCACTTTTGCGACGTGAGGCCGAGCATTGTCGAGTTGGCGGATGACTTTGTCATGTCGCTCTTGATATTGAATCATGCCCAGGGCCTTGAGACGTTTTTAAATGGCTTGCTGACTCACTCCCAACGATTCGGCAAGCTGTTCTTGGGTTTGGCACGAATCTTTATCAAGCAATGCTTCTAGTTGTTCATCTTTGAAGGTTTTTTTCCTCCACCACGATGTTTGTCTTCGACATCGAAATCACTATTTTTAAAACGTTGAAACCACTCCCGACACGTTCTTTCACTCAGAGCAGCATCACCGTAAGTTTCTGAGAGCATTTGATGCGCTTCAGCTGCATTATTTTTTCGAATTGTAATGGAAAGGTAAAACTTCCTGCAAATGGCGGGAATTAGGCACATAAACGGACTTTTTTGAGCGTGAATATAACGAAAACAAGAACAACTGTCACTGAAACGGCGATGACAATTCGTTAGGCACTGTCCACACTCACTTTAAAGGCATTATCATCCATGTATTTCAACCAGCCTCAGCCGGTACAGCCACCTATCGGAAAACGGCGGAAGCAAAGTTGTACACCTGATACATATATATTTTTTATATGATAGATTTTACTTCTAAGGACTCGTAGTCAAAATCTCAAACTAATGATATGATTTATGAACATTTACATATATAGTTCAATTCCTTTTATTATTCTACGAGTTTTGCGAAAATTCCTCATCGACCTTTCCTTTTTAGCCCCGAATGAACAAAATTCATTTAACTCGCGAAACCATTTGCACTCTGGCATTAAATAAATATATGTTTTCCAGTAAAATTTAATCTCAGTGCCACTCCAACAATGTGAAAAGATGTGAGAGAGCGACATTGGGGAAAAAAATCAATTGATTTTATTTGCATCGTAAATTGTCTTATTATCAAGTAATTTTGCTACCACTTCATTTATGTGCAACCAGAGAAATAAAAGTTAATGCCACTACAGCACGCAGTGTCATAACAATTGAAGTGAATTACAAAGTTATTGTAGTTGTAGTAACAACAATGAACTTTGAGCAGACCAATAGGGCAATAACGCTCAATTTGTAAGCAAAGCGGATTGTCACAAGTACATACACAAACACAAAAACTGCATAAATACACACACATACCTATATGTGTAAATATAAAACAAAAACATAAAAAACCGCTATTGATTACAGACATAAGCAATTCGACTACTAGCCACATGCCACAAACTAACGGATCGAAAATGTTAAAGAACTCATTAAATTTGTAAATAAAGTACACACACTCGTACATACAAGTATATGCATTCTGTACAAATGCGCATGTATGCATCTATTAGCATTGCAGCGACACTGCGTTTTCTTCGTTTTGACTTACTTGCCACAGACAATGAACGAATGACACATCATCAGCGCTCAAGCGTAAATGTCAACATTAAGTTGCTCAAGTTTGCTTTGTTTTTAGTTTTGGATTTTCGTTGCATTCAAATGCACAACTACACATACACATACACAAGTAAAGCTACTTGTATACGCTGCTGTTGCAATTGTTGGTTACTATGCGGTTGGTTGAATCAGCCTGTTGTTGTAGTCATTGTCGCCATGTTTTGTCTCATCGACAGTATAATTTACACATTTTCACCATTTTCACAATTTTGTTTAAGCATGAAATATGCGCTGTGCTTTGAGATTTTGCAATGAATTTCATTCACTTTTTTCACTTTTCAGTCTAGACGAGCAAACGCAAGTTTCAAGTAGAATATTTCGCATTTTGTTATTGAGAAAATTCTAGGAAATTTTTCGGCGCATGATTTGTGACAAATATAAAATTGAAATTATTAAGGCGCCAAGAAATAATAGACTAGCAATTTAAATTTATCACTTTTTCCAACTCATCAACATATTTAACACACGATTTTTGAAACTGCTGGTCTTTCTTACGTACTTAAGGGGCACACCCAGTGTAATGGCCCACAAAAAGTTGAGTTTTGGGAATTTTTATTAAAAAAAAATACTTTATCAATTTTTTCAAATTTTTAAGAACCTATAATATATATTTTTACATGTTTCAAGAATATACAGGGAAATTTTCGAAGAAATAAATTCCATATTTTTTAAGTTATAGTCGATCTCCAACGGCGCGAAGAAAGGGTCCTTCACTGCTGCAGTGATTCCGGCCTTCTCCGTTAAACTAGATAATATTGTCTGTACAATGACCTATAATGACCTGAAATCAAAAATTGACAATATGGCGGCGTTTAAAAAAAAATAGTCGAATTTTACCCAAAATTTTGTTCGTTTTTGGCCTGCAAAATTTCAGTTTTTTGATCAGATCTTTCTTGCAGTGTCAAATTGCGCAATTTCGGTGGTCAATTGAATTCATCAAGACAAAGGGGATTACGTGGGCGGTAAATTCCTCTCGCAATAAAGACATTTATGCTCGTGCTATGTGTCACTCTACCTTGTGTTCTTCTATTGCAAGCCGAAAAAATTCGGTTATCAATTGACTACAAGCACCCAATCGACGCAAGTAAGGCTGACACTATGTGGTTTGTATATGGATATATGTAGATGTTCTTTGAGAGCCTCGATAAATAGAATATTTGGGCCTACAGCTACACTTTCATTAATAAGGTAGCGTGGAATGAGCAAAAAAATGACTCAGCAGCTTTGCAATATCTGTTACCGATCCAGCCTGCTCCTACTGTTTCAGTAAATAGACGTTAGACGAAACCATGTAATGGATTACCCCTAATTTGTTTATTACCGGAAAAAATTTGTTTTTTTTTACAAAAATTATTGAATAAGAATATCGGCAAAAATACACGTTTCACATAAAAAATATTTTGAATGATATTTTCGTTTCTTCTTTCGGAACAACAAGTAACAAACAATATTTGGATATATGTAGATATGTAAGCAATTAAATAAAGAAACAATTTAAGAAAATAATAAAAAGCCAAAAAAGATGAAGAAAATTAATGACTAGAAAGGTAAAGAAAAGGATAACACAAATAAATAAATACAAATAGAAATATTTACGATATAATGGCGCTTTTTAACAGTTGAAGCTGTCGATGAACTGAGGATTTTGGACTCCAAACTTCCTTTTCCTAAGAGGAAATACACAGTCACACCGCTCAGCTATTGCGGTGGTCCGCCAAATATGCAATTGATATAAAAAATAATGTGCAGATAAAAAAAAAATATTGACGAGTAAATAAAATAATAAAGTTAAATATATAAACAAATTAATAAATAAAAAAGCAAAGTAAATAGTTTACTAAACAAATATTTGAATAAATAATTTAATTATTAAATGAATAAACAAATAACTAACAATATTAAAGTAAATAAATAATGGAATATTTAAAGAAATAAAAATTACTATTAATATAATATTAATTATAGAAGTTGATAAATTTGTAAATTATCAAATTAATAAATAAATGCAACAAATATTTAATAAGATAAATAAAAACAAGAAGTAAATAAATTGAAGTAAATACAAAAATGTCTTCGTTAAAGTGAAAATAAAATAATAAGTAAACAAATAAACCAGCAAACAATCAAGTAAACAAGCGAATGATATTTAAATCATTAAATCTATACATATATTTATAAAGAATTAAACAAAAAGTATATGTACAAATAAATAATCCGCCCCAACGATATTAAGTCTGACTTTTACATTAAAGCTGAATTTCTCAGCTAATTTTGAATTAAATCATTCTACTGTTTGCTTGATTTTTCGACCTGTCAGTTAATTTTAGGTTTAGTCCTATGAAGATCACCGCGAACCACTTTCAGACCTACACGTCCTAAGCACTGAAGAATAATAAGAGGAAGCAGCAAGTGTATACATACCAAATGTTTCGCAGAAAACGAAATAAATTAAACTGTTTATGAATAAAATCAAGGAATTTGGCATTAACGTGCATTTTATATTACAAAATCGGTATTGAATAAGCAAACTCTTCCACATTATATTATCAATATGCTTTTTAACTCGCAAAGCTCGTTATTCATTTGCAACAGTGGTTGCAATGGCTCTATTTTGCCCATTCTGATGACTAGCTTGTTCGACGGATGCGACACAGTTTGAGTTAAATCAGTAGATTGATTTTGATGTTGGTATGCGAAAATAATCAAATAGTTGTGAAAAAGGAGCTGCTTTTGACATACAATACGCTCAACTTTTTTTACTATACTTATTTTTTACTTTCTCAATAAAAATCACTTTTTTTTAACAAAAAACGCATACCTAAATAATTTTTACTCTCACAGCTACACAACATATTTTTTGCCTTTGCGACCTTTGGCTTTACTTTACTCCAAAGTCGCCATTGAAACATTACACTGTCTGGCAAATCTTTGTTATTCTCAATAGTTAATAATCATTTTTATTGCTGCTAGCTTAATGCTTGAGAACTTTTTGATTGGCAATACGTCTTTTGAGCTGCTTCAAGCGAAACACTGAGTTGTATTAAGCTGGCATAGCATCGTAGAAAAAGCCGAATTATCTGTAAATTTATTCACAAAAGTTTTAGCTTCAAATGCGACAAGTTGATAATATTCTAATTTTTAGTGGATTAGTAGGAAATAAAGTATATAGCTAAATACAAAAAAAAAAAAAAACAGTGTCCAGAAAGCAGAGATTACAAAGCCAACCATAAGCGCAATTCGAGACAACAACACACTAAGATTCTAGTAAATATTTACCACCATACATTTATCTATACATAAAATACTTAAAATTTGTTTTCTCTATATATAATATTAGGATTACAGAGCGTATGAGTAACTTTTAATTACAAGTCTCTTTTACACAAATGTTTATCGTTGTATATAAGTATGTATTACATTATTTTATGTTGACATTCGCCCACTAATTAGCATATGTTTACTACTATTACTTCCGCTCTTTGCAATTATATTTTACTTTTCTATTTAATGTTAGAAAACTTACGACGTAAATATTCAAGTTTTAGATAGTTATGTATGCACGCTTCACTTTCCATCTATATAACTATGTATTTATATGTGTATTGAAATATGTGTAAGGCGAAATGAAAATGGCCAAAGAAAGTTTGTTGCATATATAAACCTAAAGCGATATCATTGATATTACATTGGATTTCAATATAAGAAGTTAACTGCTGTAATAAAAGTGAATCACTCGGAAGCAATTTAGATTCATATGTGGAACACGGCGTTAGTGTGTAGGAACTTGTTTTGAAGAATCATTTTTAATGCGAATTAAATAAATATTAATATATGGAAGTTTGTAGTTCCAAACAGAGCAAGTCCTCTAACATAATATTTAATTACTTTTTCGAAAATCTTGTTAATAAAATATGAAATATTGTTGACTGTAATATATTAATATTATAATAATTAAAATGAGTTATAAAAAAATAAAATAAAATAAAATAAAATAAAATAAAATAAAATAAAATAAAATAAAATAAAATAAAATAAAATAAAATAAAATAAAATAAAAAAAAAGTAAATGAAAATTTAATAAAAAATTAAAAAAAAAAATTTAAATAGATTAAAATAATAGTAATTAAAACAAATGAATATTATATAAAATAAAAATAAAAATAATGTTGTTAAATGAAATTAAATAAATTAGGTTTCAATAGCCTTCCATATGTCTATTAGTTTTTTTAAATATCTTTTCTAAAGAAGTCAAACAGAAAGATAAATCAAATAATTGTTTTAATATTTAAAAAAAAAAATTAAAATATGCAGTTGGGCAGCAAAAAAGAATTATCTCAGCAAACTGCATACATTTTCCATTACATTGCGGTTAGGGCAATAGGGTTGCCACCGTTAGCAAGATACATTTTACAATAATAATCTAGGTTTTATCTCTCTGTCAGCTTTTACAGGCGCATTATCGTGTTGAAAACTTCAAATGCTAGGCTCGAAAATCCGGGAATTTGAGATTCTAAAGGCGTCTAGTACCTACTTCCAGTAATTTTAAACTCACTCCGCACCGTATCACTGGTATGAAAATATAATTTTTAACCATCCTTCCGATCCTTTATGTTTAATATAGCCTGAAACCATGTGATCGCTTGCAAATGCAACTATCTTTAATTAGAACTACTTTTCATTAAAAAAAAATACTGTCTCTGCAGTCCGGTTTTAGGCGTTGCTGTTTTTCTAGAGAATTATGTTAGAGCAAACGCAATTCTTACCATGAAACTTATCTCCGTAAGGATTTGCATATGCTCTTTTATATCAGTCTGCCCGTTTAACTTAAAACTTTTGTGACAGCGCAGTGCACTGATCTCCTGCTTATCACTTCTTCTCTCACAGCATAATGAGAAAAGATTTTTGTTACTTGAACTCTCACACTTATACAAGACATACACACACGAATCTATACACTTTTGGAAATTGTAGAGAATTAACTCACACACATCTTTAGCGCACAGAATTCCATAGTTGAGTTTTTCCGTGTTTTTGTGTTTATACGAATAAATAACGGGTGATCCATGTAGAGGTACTTTTTCAATAGACTTTTGGTGATAGGTCACGCGTGAGTCGTGTCAAGCTGTCACGTTGTATTTGTTCAGTGTTGGTTGGGATTTCAAGGTTTACGTCTGAACAACGTTTGCAAATCGTTCAACTTTTTTTCGAATATTAACGTTCTGTAAAGAGTGTGTTTCTCGAGCTTCGCTCAACTTATGGTGAACATAATTGGCTTACTGAGCATACTATTCGCAACCCCTTCACACGTCTTGAGACCCAGCACTCATTATTCGATGGCATTCGACCGAATAGTCCATGCTCAGCATACAGTGAAAATATAGTGGCTGAGAGTGTTCACGAAGACCGTGGAGAGGAGTTTCGGCACCGTTAGCAGGAGCTCAGACTGACGTATGGAAAGCGCAGAAATCTAGCTTGCCTTAGAGCTCAAGCTGTTCGACCTTAACAAGCGACATCGCTTTGCTCAGTGGTTTGAAAGCCGATGGAATTAGGAATTATCAGAACATATTTTTTCAAAACTGATGCCATTAGACATTTTCCTGTGGTAATATGCCAAGCCCAAAGTCTATGCGGACAATCTGGCTTCTATTCATGCCTTGGAGCAAAACATCACGCGTGTCATTCGCCATTTGCAAGTCGAAAAGCTCGAACGAGTTATAGAAAACTGGACTCAACTGATGGACCATCTGAGACGTAGCAGCGGCCAACATTTGAAAGAGATAATCTTCAAAAAATAAATGCTAAAGAATGTTCTTTCGCATGATAATAAACATTCTCAATTAAATTTGAAATTTTTTAGTTCTTTTTCTTTAAAAAAGTAGGGAATCTCGAAATGAATCACCCTTTATATATAAATATGTATCTTGAATATGTATTGAATATATTTCATGTAGTGCGCATATCTTCTTATTTACATATAAATATATATGATATACTCACCTGTCCTTGTACTGACTGATTGGCGGCGAATTGAAGACAGCTATATTTGGTTTCCCGCTCAATTGTAGAGTCTTTCGTGCTTTACCAAGCTGGTTCTCAGCCACACAAGAATAATTACCAAAGTCCTGTGGATGTACCTTACGTATAATCAGTGTGTGACGTGAGCCGCGATTCTCCATGATGTGACGTTCGGTGGTGTCCAGTTGCATGGTGTCCTTGAACCAAAGGACCTGTGGGTCGAAGGCAGCATTTTTCCAGACAGACGAAGATGGTATGAAGAGTATTAAGTTGTTGGCAAAAAGCGCGTAGGCAAGAGCAGCGAATTCCGTGAAATTTTCAAGGTAATAATTTCATTTAAAGTACGAATCGGAGTGGAGTATTGGTAGAGAGGGTCGAGTTTCCATATGGTGTTGGCATGAGATTAAGTTAAATCAACAATCAGGTGACGAAGAAAGACAACAGATGGAATGCGATTCCAGGCCATGATGATTAGCGTTGTGTTAACAGTGTGTGTATGTGTGGATGTGAATGTGTGTGGATAAGTTTTCATATGGAGGTGCGTGCCACAACGTGGAGGTGTTAAGTAAATAAAAGCATGCGAAGAAATAATAAACACACGTGAAGGTTTTAATTGACAGAGCCAGTGTTGGGTGTGTCGGGTGTGCCGGTGTGCGGAGGCAAGCGAGAAGAAGAGGAAGAAGCACAAAATAAGCGCATAAACGGCGAGCGACACGTGAAAGTCGCCGGAAAGTTGAATGTGTGCATGTGAACGAAATTGTTTTTGTTTCGTTATTCGAACGGATGTGGGCGTAATCAAATTATGGCGATTTCCCCAATGTACATACACACACACACACAATGTGACAGATCCGCAAGTGAAGTGAAGAGTAAAAGATAAACAATAAACAGTATGAGTGTCGAGCGTAGATGAAGAGCCGGAAAATATGGCAATCGGCAAGCAACCGCAAACATCGAGGAGCCGAGCCACCCACACATAACGTGTCATGAGACCAACCGACCGTTCGTATGAAGAGTGTCAAAAGTGAGCAGACAACAACCAACATACGTAAAGTGAGCAAAGTGAGCAGTGGCGGGGGACGTGTGGAGGTGGGTTGGTTATTAAGTAAAACATGTTAAGGCGCAGCACGTACGCGGTGCGCCGTCAAGTGAACGTCAACAGAAATTCGTCGACGTGTGCGTGTGTGAGTGATGCATGATGGAAAACATGTGAAACGCAGCCGGAAGGATATGTGCACAAACACAAGTTGGACGGCGGAAAGATGAACAGTTGCGGATGTGTGAAACGCGCAGATTGGCGGAACGGATGATGGACCCGCATAAAAGTGTGGATGGACAGGTGAGCGCCCAGAGAAACAGACAGATGTGGCAGACAAACAGATGGTTAAACATATACATAGGTGGGTGAGACGGACGTACATGAGACGGACACACATACAGACGCAAGCAAGTAAAGACGAACGAGGCAGACACACGAATTTGGTGGGAGACGGAAAAGCCGTGAAAATGTGTGCCATATCGCGTCCAAAGTTGCGGTGGGATTATGAAAAACACAGGTGTGCAAAATTGTGAACCAAATAATTGGACAGCAGCGCACGGGCGGAAGCAGCAGATGCCGCCATCAGGTGGTGGAGATAAGCGTTTGGCGGCCAGAACATACAACCCCGTTAAAGGATAAGTAAGCAAAAAATAAAGAAGCGGAAAAATGAAATCGAAACAAAAATGTAATTTGTATGATGCAAATACAATAACAACAAAAAAAGCAACAACAAAGAGAACAGTAAGTGACATCAAGCGGAAAAAATATAATAATTTCGTGTTGTTTGGAGACAAATATGAGGATATGGTGGCGAAAGACGATGTTTGCACGTGTATGTGTGTGCGTGTGTGTTGGCAGCAAAATATTTTTGTTTTTGTTGGTTGTCGTCGTTGGTCCCAGTAGCGTGCGCGCAATGCAGCAGCAGGCACCCAGGCACCCAGGCACGCAGGCATACGTTGAAGACGTTGTTGGTTCAGATATGAGCCCATGGGTTCAAATTCCATTAAAATTGTTGGCATTTGGTTGTGCGCATGTGTATGTGTGTGTGTGTGTGTCGATTCACATAGCGCGCATTTTTGGCGTCGCCCATCAACATTTTTATTACCGGAGCAGTTGTTGTTATTATTTTTGTTGACATTGTTATGACGTTTATACCATTTGCCGACGACGACGACGACGCATCGCAGGTGTGCCAACACCAACACAAACACAAACAAAAACAATACCCATCATCGGCAACAGAAATAAGCGCCGGCAAATGTGACACAATCCCGGCGAGATTTGCATTTGTTCAGGATGTGCCCACGTTGGTAGCCAACAATGAAGCCAACCATCGAAGGTAGTTGCGGAAAAAAGTCCAAGTCTCACGCAGAGCCAGAGAGCCAGCGAGGCAGCGAGGCAGCCAGCCGCAGAGACCAGATAAACACGTTTGTTTGCCCAGCATGGAGGAGTCAGCAGTGGCAGTCAGCAGTTGCAGCGGCAGAGGCAGCGGCAGTCAGTTGCGCATTTAAACCATAAATTTCGCATGTGTGTTTTGTTGTTGTTGTTTGTTGGGTTTTTTATTAGCATTGTAAAGTTAAAGTTGAAGTTTCGTTCGTTCATTTATTTGTTCGTTCGTTGATTTTGACAAAATTATTTTATGCCAACAAAATAAATAATGTTTGCATTCTCAGTGAGTTTGACGATGGGAGTTTTGAAATTTTTCGTATGTTGTTTTACCCATAGTTTAACCGTTATATTGTTGTTTAGTCGCATGTGTAAACGGCGTTGACATTTTGATGAACGTCGCAGGGCGTAATAAACAAAAGCGCGGACGGTGTATAAATTTTAAATGCATACGTATGCATGTATATATATATATATATATATATTCAATCAAAAGTTGGCAATTTTTTAGTAAATGATTTTTTCATTATTTTTTAATGTTGGTAGTAGTTGCGGCCGACATCAGCAGAAGTTGTTGTCAGTTGGATTGATTTATATGGTGACGAGTTCATGAAAATACAGTAAAAAAGGAAAAAGTGCAATGGCTTAAGTTAGTAAATATTTTTATGTCAATGACTTTAGTTTACTTAACCAAAGTAATGCAAATATACATAATACAGAGGGTATATTTAAATTAGAATTATTCTTTGTAAATGGGAATATTTGTTTCAAAAAGGATATTAGGAATATGTAAATCGAATACTTTTATTCTCGGCTATTGATGGAATATACGAGGAGCTTATCTAAGGTTCGGTCAGTTGGTGACTTTAAATCTGTTTTTGTTAAATCGAAAAATACCAAATCCTTTCCAATTATTTCCCTAGTATCTTTTCAAGTTTTAGAACGATTGGCTGAAATGGAGACGAGAAAACCCAAGATAGCTGAGGTTAGGTCAGACGAAATTCTATCACCAGCGAAAACAGAAATTCGTCATGCGATTCTCCTCGAATTTCCGCGTAATTTACAGCCAATGCAAATATTCAGAGAATGCAAATTTTCATATGAAACAATTGCACCATGCGAAGATTTTAGACCGGAAATTTTTCCGTAAAGAACAAATTCTTCCACTCATGACGTCACTGTAGCTCTGGTGAAGTCGAAAATTGACGCAGACCCACGATTAATACAAGAAATAAGCGCCAATAAATTGGGATTGAATTCCATAGCTACATCGCGAATATTTAGTAATCATCTGGGATACACGAAGCAAACTGTTCGATGGGTGCAACGAATTTCAAATGGAGCACAAAAAGAGGCTCGTAGAGATTTTGTTCAATTTTTCCTAAAGAAATTCTAAAATGGTTATTCTAGTAACTTTAGTAAAGTCGTTACTGACGACGAATCTTGGTTCTGTAACAACGATCCAGAAACCAAGCAGTCCATGGTGTGGAGCCCAACACGAACAAACGCGCCCATAAAATCTAAGGAACAGAAATCAGCAGCAAAAGTAATGATGTCAGGTTACTTCACCTATTCTAAAATCGTAGCTGCCTTTGCACTGGAAAATGGTCAGACGGTAATTTTCAATGGTACACCAAAGAGTATTTACCAAAAGTTTTCAAAAATTTGTTGGAAAACAGGAAGAAAGAGTATTTGTGGCGCTACTTTTTACATTATGACAACGCCCAATCCCAAACTGCTGGGATCCAGAGAAATTTTTTTTGCGATTATTGGGATCAGAGAAGTATGTCTAGCCAAAAAAAAAACAACAATAATTAAGAAAAAAAATTTAAAAGGAAAGATCTTTAATAGCAATGAGGAGATAATTCATGCGGTTAATGCTGAACTTGATAAGCCTAAAAAGCAAGAGTTTGAAGACTCTTTTCAAAAGTGAATATATAGGCTTAAGAAATGCATTTCAATCAATGGCGATTGTGTAGAGAAGATAAACAAGGAAAAATATTACGATAGAATACAATTTTTTTTCTGGTCAATTTACCGAACTCTTGTTAATTCCCTCGTATATGTAAACAATTTAAGGAAGGAGAATTTTTATATTTTATTTTTTATTTTTTGAAGCAGATTCGATGATGGTCCAGGGAATTTTATTACATTGACTCCATTTATGTATTATAATTATTTTTTACCCTTTCCCTGCCTTTTGTGCAAAAACTATTGTACTGAAAGATAAAATTCAGTTGGTTTGGAAAGATCTTTTCCTGTTTACATTATAAGCTTTCATAAAATAAATTATTTTATAAAACTTTTCAAAAATGCCTGTGGAAGAGTTTACAAATTATTATGCCGATGATCAAAATTGGAGATGCTTACAAATTTCTGAAGAATTTTGCCACCAGCTTTTCCTTAAAATGAAAGTCAACATTTCACTTTTCTTTAGCAAATTAGCACTACTACGACTTTTCTGATTAAAAAAAAAAAAAAAATTACACTCCCCAAAAGAGTATGGTACACTGCAACGAAGGATTGTTGGAACTCATTGAAGAACATTTCGAGAATATGGGATTGTTTAGTAAACCGTGCCACCATGTAAAAGGTGCTGGGTTCAAATGTTGGTCGCTTTAGCATCAATTTTTATAGAACAATATTTAAATAAAGGTCAAGCCCACCATGAGTATTTCGAACATTAAAAAAAGAAAGAACACCAAGACGCTCAACAAAAATTTGAGTTAAAGAACCTAGCGGTACCAAAAGTAATATTTTGTGTACATAAATAAATACGACAAAATT